ATTATAAATATCTTAATATTTTATATGCATATAAATATTAAAAATACAAAATAAATCGTTAGAATTATTAAGAACTTACTTTCATGATCTCTCTAACTCCTTTGTAGTCAACTCCACCAAGGATATGTTTAATGAGAACAAAACACTCAATCCAAAAATCTTCTAATTGATATTGTAATTTATCACAATTTAGAATACACTCACATACTAGCCTGTAAAAAAATTGAGAAAATAATACAAAGACTCAAAGAGACATGAAAGAAGAAAAGCATTCAATTAAAATGTACCTAGCAGGTAAAAAATTTGAATGCACTAAGTTTTCTAGAAGCGACAGTAATAACTGCAATCGTCTATGATTTGTCATAGATGCAGCTATCGATAAAAATTGGCGAACTGCTGCTTCTTGTTGTTCCTTCGTTAACCCAGTCATAGCTGTCCTCAATTCTTGATGCCATGCTGCTACTTTATCAGTTTCTTTTTTAGGGTGATGAACAAGAACACAACTGAACGCTTCTTCTATTGCCTCTATTTTCTAGAATTTATAAGGTCTGTTTTTTATTATTGCACTTTCTGAACTAGTATACACAGTGCAATAAGTTGAAGCAAAACAAATATACGTTTGTTTCACTTTAATTTATTACATCGGTCCAGAGTGCAGCAATAAAAAACAAACCTATAAAATACAAAAATATGACGAAAATAAAATTATCCTATATATTTGATTATTAAAATTAAAACTTTGATGTAGCAAAGTTATGAAAAAAATACACGTATCAAGAAAATAGCAGTATTTCTTAATATTTACCAAAATATCATTTAAGATATTTGTAATTTGAGTTTCACTGCTCATCTTTTCAACCATAACATATCCTTGAAATTTTTAATTAATATATTTTGTCGTCCGTCTAAAAAAAATCGATTGTAAAATAATTCTCTACTATTGTAAAAAAGAGTTAATTGATAAACCAAATTATACCAGATTATCAATCAGTAATATCAGCATTAATATTTACGGCATTGTTGATTCTCTCTCTCTCCTTGTTTGGTTTTCCGACTCAAATAGTGACGTCCCATGCAGCGGATCATACGTAAGCGGATTTGCGTATTGCCAATCACAGAAAATTCTATTCTCTTAGATCTGCTTGCTAAATTTGCAAACAGATCTAAGAGAATGATTCTGTGATTGGCGATATGCAAATTCGCTTACGCACAATCCGCTGCATGGGATATCACCCTCACACAAGCCTAGTTTCCATCGAGGGTTTAAGAATCAACCAACTATAATCGAGTATTCTCCTGTTACAGTCGAACGACAGGTCGCAAGTCATAAACCATGAGAAATTAGTCTCTTCTAGATCTAAAATCTGGTTGGACGATCTAAAAGAATACACCAATAACAGCGAGCGCTCAATTGTTGAATCCGCTGAACGAAGCCAATGAGCGTCGAGTGTCAGCATGAAAAGGCATCTTTATCCAATATATAAAATTTACCAAAAGATGAAACAATCGGCTTTAGATTAGTCTAAATTAGAACTAGTTTACCTTTGGAATCTACAAGTCTGTGGCGAGTCTATCGTTTCGCGCATTATTCAGGCAAAATGGCGACATTGTAGACGTCGTTTTGAGGAGAAGAAGCGGGACTTCGCGGCAAGTTTACGTTCCAGAATCAATTACAACGCAGTTGAGTGTACGAATCATCCGTTTAATCCCGTTATCGATCACGCGACCGCCCGGCGACTCCCGGTAAACACCGATCAGCCTTGCGGAACCGCTGCATCATGTCGGACGAGAAGGTAACGCTTCTCCTCATCTAACCTACAAGCGCCAAGTATTTACGATACGTTGTAGCGTCTCACGCGCTACTTACTCCAATTGTTCTTTGTTCGTGCAGGAGACAAAGACGGAGTCGGAGCACATAAATTTGAAAGTGCTGGGTCAGGACAACGCAGTAGTTCAGTTTAAAATTAAGAAACATACACCCTTACGGAAATTAATGAATGCATACTGTGACCGTGTAGTAAGTATTTATCTAATCTTATCCCCATTTTTTGTTTTTTTCTTATGTTTAGATATTTTTAACACTACAATAGAGTCATATATATTTATCTTCCAATTTTTTAATTTCTTCAATGATCTCTTATGAATTGAATTGTATCTGGAGTAAGGATCAGAATCAAGACTTGCCAAGTACAAGTCGAATGCTGTTAAAGCCCGTCTCAGGCTAGAAATTGAGATTGAAGTTGGGAGCACAGACTGTCGCGTAACATATAAGACATAACCAACATCAACCAACCAAAGTTCAATTGGTTTATTTTTTATGCATTATATATATTATTTGTTATGCAAGAGTCTGTGATCCGCTTAAAGGTCTATTTAAATTACTTGCACTTTTTGCACTCAACATCTTTGATTATATATTTATCTCATTTTAAATTAAAATAAGTAAACATTTTTGGAGTTTTTAAGCAAAGCCAACAGATCTTAAGAGGAAATTAGGATTTAATCAATTAGACGAAAGAAAATTTCAAATTTAGTGAACTTTACTTGATTAAAGTTTGAATTCGTCAAATTTTAATCCAATCTTGATTTTATTCTCTTGCCTGATATAGAAATAAATGGAATGCCAAGTATATTTTTCTGATACTTTCATAAAATGACGATTGTTATATTCTATTTGCTGAATTGTTAATGCATCATGTATAATGCTTTCTGTAGTTTATTATGCTTAAAATATTTATCTAAATTTTTTCCATATATTAAAATGTATCGAAGTGTAATATTTTCTGATGCAATATTTTTAAATTTTTTGGAGACAGTTTTGACATTGACCAATTACAGTCGAATATTCTTCTCATACTTGACTATGATTAAACAATTTTTACTTACACAATTGTAGAATAGGTTTTACATTTTTACAATGCAAAAATAATAAATCAATTGCTCATAAATAGATTTCTAATCATATTGTTACTGCTTCACAGGGCTTGGCGATAGCAGCAGTAAGATTTAGGTTTGATGGACAGCCCATAAACGAATTAGACACACCTACCTCACTGGAAATGGAAGAGGGAGATACAATAGAGGTGTATCAACAGCAAACTGGTGGTTTTTCGTGTTGAGATGCAATGCATCGCGTTTACAAATGGACTAAATGAAATTTATCGTTCCAGCAGTGTTTACGTTTAACAGAAGGCATGATTTAATAATTTTTTTATCTTTACTCCGCTCTACATAACAGGAGACTTCGATCCATCACATAATGCACAAGATTCATTTAAGCATTTAAATTTTGTTTAAGTTTAATTTTCATTATTTTTTTCTTATTTTCCTAATTTTTCAATTGTATGTATATTTATTAAAAATATTTAATATATATATATATATATTTTATATTTAGAAGCTCACACAGCAGAAAAACTCCAGGCACCAGTCACTGTGAGTGCTTGTGGTCAATCACAATGTGTGTCAAACAGAATCATGCTTCCGCGCATTGTGCCGTTGGTTGAAGTCTCTATTTATCGAAACGGCCGTTTACTATAAGTTTTAATAATTAACACAAACACATTCGAATAGAATTGATTTAATATGAAAATGTGACTTTTTGTTACTGCTGAAAGAGAAAGAAGCGAAACATAATAAGTTATGTAAAGGAACATCCCCCCTCACACTTCTTGTCATCAAGATCCTTTAAAAATCTCAAGATTTCCCTGTGTACATGGATTTTTACGTAAATTTAACATTGCAACGATTAAAAGCATTCTCATCTTTAGGTATCCTCTTTCTATATTTGTAAAGGGTGTACAGGAAAATGGTGTTTAGGGCATACATTTTTATTAATGAGTAAAACTATAAGATTTCATTTCACAAAAACCAAATTTCGTACCCGTACCGTCATTACAATTTCAGCGTGGCTACACACGTTACTTTTTTGTATAAGCGATATAAATTGCTAGTTATCTTTTGTAAAGGAAAAAAAAATCTTTCAACTTTTGGCAAGCGGCTCCATGCCGTTCTTGATGAGGGCATATTGCATAGCGTACTTAGCAAGGAGGATTGTTATAAGATAATTCGTATTTTTCTTTAAGAAACATATATATATATTTTTGTCAAGATTTAAATATTGCTAATGTAAAATGTATTCCGAATACGATTTATTATGTTCGCTAAGTGTAAGTTTTACATAATTGTAAAATACATGTATTTAAAGTGTTTGTGAAAATACAATTTAATTGAACGCCACACTCCAATTGTGCACAAAAGTAACGCAAACTTCAGTGATATAAATTTTTTTTATTTGTAAATTCCATCAGAGATATCTATTAAATATTAAAAATTATCAATTGAAGAATAAAAATTAAAGAATACAAATTTGTGAATTTTAAAATATAAACAATATTAGACAAATGCCTATTACGATCAAAGCTGGATCTTCATTGCTTTTAAATAATTCAATCCTGAATTCCTAATATACACTATATATAATATATATTTGCATATATATCATATGTTATAGTCTTTTTAGAACTGCGCACCGAGTTTTTCCGGACTATAAACGCAATTAAAACTATTCTAATAATTGCGAATTAAATTGACAAGCAATTTAATAATTTGATGCTTGATAGCATCATATTATAAAGATGTTAATATTGGAACTGTTAATAAATTTATTGCGAAAAATAATTAATTTAAATAATTCTAAAATTATTTAAAAGTAATGAAGATCCAGCTTTGACCGTAATAGACATTTTTCTAGTATTGATTGTGTTTCTCACATATGCGGTTTAAAATAAAAGAATTTTAATATTGTTTAAAATATAAAGTTATAACGTTTTTTATTGGCAGAGCTGGTGCGCACTCAGTACACATTAAAGCTGTTGTACACTATTAATCACACAATTTAATCTGAATGTAAAAGTGAGATATCTCAATTAATAAAATATAGCCAATGTATATTTTATCAAAAATATCACAATAAAATGTATTGAGGATTTTGCGGTTTAATTCGTTTCTATATTTTTATTAAACGTTATATCTTTACGTCGATTTGTGTACAACGGCAATTTAAAGTCCACTGAGTGCGCATCAAGTCTATCAGTGAAAAACGGTATTAGAATATACTTTGAGATGTTGTGTAGAGACATATTGTAATTTATTTTCCATTTAGAAAATATTTGTAGAATTTTTTGGTCAGGATAGACGAGCTTCAAAAGAATAATTTCGATAGCTAACGGTAGTTACAGTTTCGAATTCACAAACAATTTATTAAATGTCTTTGGATATTACACTAGGATTGTAACAATTAAACTTTGTCTTCTGAAATGTCCAACAAACTTTTTTTGAGCGCTACCCCGAAATTTAAACTTGTACCGGTCTCTCGTTCTTGAAATTTCAGTGGAGCAACTTGCTAAGTGCAGTTCGTATGTTATTTGGTATTTGTGGAAAATCAAGATTTTATTGTAAAATAGTCACATTGGTTTAAAAGACAGTACAGAATTGCGATAAATCTGCAGAGTAGTTTGATAGTAGATATAATCTATCGCTGAAAAATGAGAGAACCAGTACAAGTTTAAATTTCGTCCTAGTGTAGTATTCAAAGACATTTAATAAACTATTTGTGAAACCGAAACTGTAACTACCGTTAGCCAGCGAAATTATTCTTTTGAAACTCGTCTATCTTGCACCAAAAAATCCTATAAATACTTCCTAAATTCTGGGAAATAAATTACAGTATTGAAGTAAGTTGCTAATGATTCAAATTTCGAAGACCAACTATGTGCTCCGATTAGCCAAGATCCAAGGCGAAACGTACTGAAGTGAACTGCTTATTCAAATTTTGAGAATCTAGAGTAATTCTATATTTGTGGACAAAAAGTTCCTAGATATCATCTAAGAGCAGTTTCACTCTCAACTCATTTCACAGATGTCGTGGCTGCAACAAAAAGAAAATTGGTTTGTTTCACGTATCTAGTATTCGCACAATCGAAGATTCAGAATCTAGATAAATCTGCGAGGTCGTGTTTTTGGTTATTAGTTGGTTTCCATTTGTCTCGTGGATGGTTTGTCGCAATGTTATTTATGTAAACAAAACGCTGGCCCGGGTTTTGTTTATGTGCGACTCACCGGTATTGGACACAATCCGCGTGAGGTAAGATTAATATAATCGCAAATTGTGAATAAAAAAACGATGCGATTACTGATTTCATGATTGATTTGTAAAACTGTCGTACGTCACCAGGCCAGGCATTTGCATAGGCTTTACTTTGTAAAAATTGGATTAATCGTAAAATCTCAACAAAGAGAAGATGGGGGATTCCGACGAGGAGAATGAGAAGGACTTGGCATCTGGCCTTAATATCACTGGCTTCCTCTTTGGCAATATTGATGATAATGGTCAGTTGGAAGATGATATCTTGGATCCCGATGCCAAACAACATTTAGCTTCGCTCAGTCGTCTCGGTCTGAGTTCATTCATCAATGAGATGATGTCCAATGACAATAATGCTGAAGAAAGAGAGACCGGCAAAGTGAACGAGAAAAAGGAGGACCAAAACACAACTACAAACGACATGGATGTTGATTATTTGGTGAAATCACCTACCGCATTAGATTTCTCGGATATAAATGAGTTGGCAGAAGATACAATTGATGAAATCTGTTAGTATCTGCACTATAGTTTTATGCAGATGTACTTATACGTGATTGATAATGTTAAGGCTAATTTACAATATATTCTTTACTTTCTATTTCTTGCTTTTTACCTCTTTCTTTTTTGCCTCTTATCTTGTTTTTTTATTTTTTGTTGCCCGAGTTAAGAAAATTGACAAGTTTCAGAAGAGATATGTGACAAGAAACACAGTTATTAATAAAATGATTGTCAAGAAGATAAAAGACAATAGGTAAAAAGCAAGAAACAGAGAAAGATTGGAGGATTAGCCATTAATGTTAATAATTATATAAGTTATATTTATTTTTAGCCAAGAGTAATGGATTCGATAGAAAACTAGACAAGGAAAATGCAGATTATGATGCCGACGATGAGGAGGTTGTCAGTAAATCAGATACACAATTGATGCCACCACCGCCGATACCAGAGGAGAAGGAGACATTGACTGCAGAAGAAGCAGAAGCAGCGCGTCAACGTAAATTAGAGACACCTCTCGCTTCCATGCTACCATCCAAGTATGCCAATATCGATGTCACTGAATTGTTTCCGGATTTCCGCGCCAATAAAGTGCTTAGATTCTCGCGACTGTTTGGACCCGGCAAGCCAAGCAGTCTGCCACAGATATGGAGGGGTGTAAGGAAGCGACGTAAAAAGAAAAAGCATCATGATGTCAGAGATTCTGATTCTGGTTCTGATCAGGATGATAAAAAATCCAAATTTAAGGTATAATCTTCTTGTGGTAAATCTTTCTCGGATCTATGAAATGCCAGTTGCTATTTTCACTGAATAGATTAATATTGTGTTTGTTTTAGGGTTGGATCATGCAATATGGTCCCGAGCCGAGTGCGGAAGCATGTCGCTCGGATGATGAAAATAAGCTGCTGCGACCAGTAGAAGATAAGGAACAGACTGGTAAAATGGGTGAAAGTGGAGAGAACGGTGATATGGGACCCAAAGTGGCTGATTGGAGATTTGGACCCGCGCAGTTGTGGTATGACATGCTAGAAGTACCAGAAACTGGAGATGGATTCAACTATGGTTTCAAGATGGTTGAAAAAGTTAGTGCTTATTATATTGCATTTGACACTGATTAAAACTGAACAATTACTTCAAAATATTTATATTTTCTTGCATTAAATTTAGGCGGAAGAGCAAGAAAATAAACTAGAAACCAAAGATGAGGATTTCACTGATGATGCGTTCTTGATGGTGTCACAATTGCATTGGGAAGATGATGTTGTCTGGAATGGAGACGATATAAAGCATAAGGTATAATTTTCTTAATAAAGTAGTCAGTATTATTATTATATGCTTGTAAGAAAAAAAATAAATTTATTTTTTATAGGTAATGCAGAAGTTGAATAGTAAAAATAACGCTGCCGGTTGGGTGCCATCAAGTGGCAACAGAACAGCGCAAGCCTTTAGTCAGCCTGGAAAAGGTGCCTCTGTCACCGTAACACCTAATGTTAGACTAGCCACTTCACAAATTACAACACCATTGCACATGCAGTCTCAAAAGAATAAGATGAATATGGGCAAGGGAAATCAGCAACCACAACGGGAGGAGGACGATACTTGGTATTCAATATTTCCGGTAG